GCTTCCTTCTTGCCCTTGGAGTGGGAGTGGCCTGTCAAAAATACAAGTAAACTTGTTAGAAAAGGCACAAAACAAAAAATTTGTCAGTGTCAATGTAAAGTTGGGAAGGAGCTCCCTTCCAATATGCCTGAACGGACGAAGAACGTCCGCGCAAACTTAGGAAGCATGCTCCTCTCAATACATCAAGGCGGACAACTAGAAAAGAAAGACTCAGAAAATTAAACAAGTATTTACCTCCTTGGCTTGCTCGTACATCTTACGACGAGCCTTGTATCGAGCCAAGTCCACTTCGGACATCTCCACCTCACCCTTTTGTTCAGGGTCAAGCATAGCGTACGCCTCCGCTGCAAAAAGAAGAAGAAAGTGTTAGAATAATTTTCTAAGTAAAAACTTATGTGCGTACAAAAAGTTTATATGTAAGCGTCCACCTTGGGGCAAGTTCTGGTACAGGCCGTACGCAGACATAAAAGTAGTGTCCCTGAGCCAACTGGATAAAGGAACCCAATGGCGAGGAACACGTACAATCTTGTTACCCCGCTTGACCCTATTGACCTTGAAATACTCAAGTTGGTATTCTTGGCTAGGATGGACGGGCGGCTTGTCAGGTTTATGATCCCCACGTTTGAGCTGGATAGGTTCAGGAAGACACCTGTTCATACGTAAGTTGAACTCCACGTCCTTGGTTTTGACGCGGTAGAAACGGTGCTTCCAGTCCCTCCATTTGCTGACACGGTCAATCACCACCATGTAATCCCTGGTTGAACTCAAGATGAGCCAACCGTTTGTGTCCTTCTCCAGCCGTGTTAGTGAGTGCATCTCACAGAAAACAGCAAAGTCCGGCTTGAAGCCTTTACAGATGCACGTGACCAAATACCCAAAAATATTTAACCAACTGTTTGGCGTCAGTTGGAAAAGGCCAATGTCATACTCGTCCAGCAATGTCCGGACGAAAGGATGAAGAGGAAAGCGGAGGCCCACATCCAAGGCGACCCTATACACGCAAAAGGCCCTTTTGCGCGGCCTCTCTTCCTCCCAGGTGGCCACAACAATTGCCTTCCTGGGGACTTGAATCTCAAACCCCTCCCCAAGATGGAGGGATGCCTTGTACTTCTCAAACTTGTGCCCAAGAACTTCAAGGCCGTGTTACCTACCGTACAGGCGTACGGGTCCCTGAAGTTGTCAATGTTGGCTACATCCTCTTCAGCCACCGCCTCACCTTCGGCCTCACCTTCTGCCATTTCACCTTTGGCCGTCTCAGCTTCGGCCTCTTTCTCAACTTCTTCTTCTTCCACTTGGTGAGAAGGAGCACTCCCAAACTCTAAAGACAGCACCCTATCCAGGTCTGCTGCCTCGGCCGAGCTTCGACCTCTAGAGCTGAGTACGCCTATAGGGGAAGTGGCGTTCTCTTCGACTAAGGGACGTTTGCGCTTGTCCTTGGCAGCGACCGCCTCATTTCCCGAAAGAGGGGCGCTGCGAATAGGCAGAATGAACGGTTCTCTGATTGAGATTCCCGTCCTTGGTCTGTCCGCTCTGCCCTGTTGGAGCAGAGGTTGAGAAGAAGTGGGGACGGACGAACCAGCAGCGTCCGCCCCAGATTGGGAAGGATGGTCATTACGAAGTACCAGCTCAGCCTCATCCATGACCGTGCTGACATATTGTGGGAACCTAAGTTCCGGGATTGGAGCGGACGAGGCGCCTTGAGCTCTTTGGCGTTCCTCGAAAGAAGAAGTAACATCCACGACCAAGTGATGAGAGCCAGTGGAGGTAGTTGTCTGTGGTGGAGGCGGTCTCCACATTAGTATTGCTTGGGTTGTTCGGGTCATAAGGGACCCTAGGGTGAACTAGACTACCGTCTGGGTTCCTGGCCGCATGAAGCTCACGCGTACACGTGGTTCTAGCCATATTCGCCTGTATGGACAGAGAAGAACAAGTGGGGGTGAGTACGTACGCACTAGACATAGACTCACTCCAAGGAGAAGACAACTCTTCTCCGTCCACTCTAGACTCCTCAGTCCCAGGCGAACGGCCGGCCTCATGAGGAGAGTCGGACGAAGCCGAGTATGGATCCAGAATTGAAATAAAGAAAAAACACAAGTAAAAGTAAAGAAAGAAGTTGTAGGCGGCCTACCTTTGTACGTGTTGAAAACCTTGAAAGTGTTCTTGGTGTTGTTGAAGATTGACCGGAAAGCTCAAAAAACGTCCAGAAAACTCAAACTCACGACGGCGCTCTTGAAGATTTAGGGGGAGGATAACTTTCTCTCTCTAAAATGCTCTGCCTTCTCTCTAGAATTCACAATTGAGTAAAGTGCTAAAATGAGATTTTACCTCCCATATTTATAGAATGAATTTATGGGGGCAAAATGGTAAAACCATCTTTCCCGCCTAGACATTCAAACGGTTACTCTTTGAGAAATTACTCGAAGAAAGAGACGGATGGCGTTAGGTTTCCGTCAATTCATGTGGAGATTCAGACGGACAAGTGACGGCACGTCTAAGTTGGTTGAATCACAAATTCAAGAATTTGCACCTCAAACACTTAGTCTCCTGAACTTTCAAATAACCTAATGGGGGAATTGCGTCCGCCCAGCTCCCAGACGTTTAGTCCAAAGAGAGATTTCAGACGGACGCAACCTGGTTGGAGTACCAGAGGGTACGCTTGAGTATGAGGACGTCCAGTCCAAAATATGTGGACGTTCAGGTGAGCCAGGAAATAAGCTCACCCTAGAGTATGAGGACGTCCAGTCCAAAATATGAGGACGTCCAGTCTAAAATATGTGGATCGTTCAGGTGAGCCAGGAAATAAGCTCACCCCAGAGTATGAGGACGTCCGGTCCAAAATATGAGGACGTCCAGTCCAAAATATGTGGACGTTCAGGTGAGTCAGGAAATAAGCTCACCTCAGAGTATGAGGACGTCCAGTCCCAAGTATGTGGACGTCCAGATGAGCAAGAAAACAAGCTCACTCCAGACTATGAGGACGTCCAGAGCAGAATATGCGGACGTCCAAGGTAGCAAAAAGACATCTCACTCCAAAGTATATGGACGTCCAGAGCAGATGGGAGGTAAACCCAACCCAGAGTACATGGACGTCCAGATGGAGGATCAGAGGAGGTGGCCAGTAAACGTACGAGCCACTCCCTCTGAGGGGCAAATGTTTAGGGTAAAATTACCCCATTTACGTGGCCCAATCTCATAGCGACACGTGGCCCAATAAGAAGGCGACACGTGTCCCTATGAGAGGGTGACACGTGTCCTCTTGATAGGGTGACACGTGTCAGCTGCCCTAAGCGTATAATGGAACATCAGAAAGAGAAAAAGCCTTTATTACATCAGGCCCAAATCCCGGGAAAAACCCTTGAAAGCCGCAAAACGACGCCCCCCTATGACACGTGGCGGTCTCTGATTGCGTAGCCAATCACGTCACGGAATTCTAGGGTACAAACCCTAAAGGGGCACATGCTCCCACCCCTATAAATACCCCAATCATTTATGATGGGAGGGGTGGATTGTGACATAACATTAAAAAGAGCACTAAAAGAGCTCCAACTTCTCTCTACTTTCTCTCTCTAGCTTTTTCGATTACCGATCTCTAACTTGATCGTCGGAGGCGAATATTCCGATAAAGAAATATTCGTTGTTTTGCAGGTGTCCGCGTCTCGTTGCCAGAAGTGCGTGACTAGTATCCGAGGAGTTCACAAAATACCCCGAAACAATACTCATCATGTATACTGTATGTCTGTATCGTATATCGATATATTAACTACATTTGATAAAACAAACTTAATTGAAAATTTAAAATCTGTAATTAATTTTGTATCCCCTACTCTTATTCAACGGCTCTATTTGGCCCTTTATATGCAAAATAAAATGATAATTGGATACAGTAGGACAATAGGTGGTGGACGAATATAAGACTATGTTTGGCAATGATATCAAAAAATTAGTGAAAATTAATAACTTAACTGAAAATAATAAGGTAGTAACTAAAATTGAGCTAATTTAATACTGAAATAATTTAACTAAAATTATCAATTTTAATACTTCGTATTTCAACATTGTTAAAAAATTTCAAAGAAAATAGCACAAACTTTATTATAACTAGACCTGGCAAGGTCTGAGTCGGGTCACTTTTGGGTTGGGTCATTTTGGGTTAGCTAACATTCGGGTCAGGTATGGTCGATTCGGGTTTCAGGTCAACTTCAGGTCAGGTATCAGGTCGGGTCAGTTTCAGATCGGGTATGTTTGGGTCAGGTCAATTTCGGGTCAATTATGTTCGGGTCAGGTCAAAATCTGGTCGAGTCATATTCGGGTTGTTTCATTTGTGAATAAAGCTCAAATCAATGATTTTATACGGAGTATTTATTTGGTTATTGTTATAATAAATACTATCAATTCAGTTTATGAGCTTAGTTACGATTGAAGATGAACAATTTGAGTTATTTTCAGTATAAGACATTTTAAGTTCAATTATAGGGTAATTTTAGTTTGTGATATTCCGGGTATCGAATCTGTTCGGGACAATTTCGGGTATCGGGTTTGTTCGAGTCAAACACTTCGATTTAATTTTGGGTCGGGTCATTTTTGGGTCAATGTTTTGGGTCAATTTTGGGTCATGGGTTGGATCAATTGGGTCGGGTCATCGGGTCTGGGTCAGGATTGCCAAGTCTAGTTATAGCATAGAATAAGATCTTTTTCACAATCAAGTTGAGTTTTACAATACTTTGAGCTCAGTGGCGGAACTTGGGCAAAATAGTTTGGGGGGCCAAGGTTTGATCCTTCAACCTTTTACTAAAAAATAACAATACTTAACCGCCGCCTCAATGAAGGGGGGCTGGACCCGACCCGCCTCAATGAAGGTCCGCCTCACCTACAAATTAAAATGAAAACTATCACAAGCCTAGCTAGACCAACCCAAGTTCAATCTCAACTCGCTCGGTTATCACCTCTAATTTTACATAACTGTAAGATTAAGATTTTTTTTTAAAAAAACTCGAGTGTATATATTAAAATTTGAGTATTGAATTATCAATAAATTGCGGTTAAAAGTTAGAAAACAAACTCTATGGTTAAAGTTTGGTTTCCAAACACACTATTAGTATTAGACCCCCAACTAGGCCAAGCAATAGCCGCCGCATGCATTTGCATTTAAACTATACGAGGAAGCAAAGTAGAGATGAAGTAGAAACATAATTTATCAATGGCAGTTTATTCCTCTCTTCTTTCTTCTTCCTCTCTTCACTCTGCTTCTTTTCTCAATCACAAATTAATTCACAAATTTATCTTCCTTTCTTTCCTTTGAATTATCCTTAAAGCTTTCCAACAAAGTTAAGTTACTTAATTTTTCACAAAAACTCCTTTCACACATTCAATTGTTTTCATCATATTTCATGTTACTTCTTGCTGTATAACCTCATTATACTTTCTTTCTCTTAAAATTTTCTCAACATTTTCATATATTCTATACTCATTTTTTGGTGGGTTCATTTTACCAATTGATATTGGTTAGCAAGTATGCTTCTAAGAGCCCACATTTATGTCTTTTTCATTGTCCTGATTTTATGTAATTGTTTGTTTGATTTTGTTTCGGCTTCGGCTTCGTCTTCGGCTGCTGCTTTTAATCTTAGTCTTCCTCATGAACACCCTTTCCCTGAACATATTGTTCGAGAATTTCACAGGTAAGAATTGAAGCTTATTTTTCAATATAGTAAAGCTATAATCTTGTGGGTTTAATTTGATAATGTTGTAGTCATTTTACTTCATTCATTCTATATTAAGCATTCAATATAGGAATAATTACATTGTTAATCTCTGTCTCTTGCTTCAAAATTCTTTATAGTGTTGAAGGAAAACAATGAGAATGTACCAAATGCATTGTACTTAGTTTTTATGCTTAATTCATTTTGTTTCAAGCATATAAAAAAATTATTGCTGTAATGCAGTAATGATCTCGTATCCGTCCTCGTGCAACCTATATTACTACGGTCATTCAAATATTGGCGCGGAATTTGAACCATGAACTGTTTTTTTTTTTTTTTTTGTCAGAAATTTGTCAATTCTAGTTTTCTAAGCTCTGTTTTCCTCTGTTTTAAGATGAATTCGCATACCTCATTATGATATATTTACAATCTAGATTACACTTTTTCCATCAAATTTCATCTGGGTATTTTCAATTTTTTAATGGGCAATTTTTAAAAAATAAAATAAAAAGAACTAATGTTATAATAATACGATTATTTAAACATAATAACATAGGTTATGTTCTCTGCTTTTCTTGCAGGAGAGTTAATGTGTCTCTAAGCAGAAGGAAAACCCTAGAAACAACCCAAGAAAAGGACCAGTTTTCTTGTGTAACTGGTAATCCAATTGATGATTGTTGGAAATGTGACCCTAATTGGGCCGGTAACCGGCAACAGTTAGCCGATTGCGCAATCGGGTTCGGCTACAAGGCACTTGGTGGCAAAGGTGGTCCTATCTATGTGGTTACGGACTCTTCAGACCCGGACCCTCATAAGCCTAAATCGGGGACCTTACGTGACGCCGTTAGCCAACCCGGACCAGTTTGGATAATATTTGCTAGTGACATGCTTATTAAGCTTAAAAGTCCTCTATTAGTCACAAGTTTTAAGACAATTGATGGACGTGGTGCTCATGTTGAGGTAACGGGTGGAGGGTGCATATCAATTGAGCATGTTACAAATGTGATTGTTCACAATATTAATATACATCATTGTTACCCTGCTGACTCGGATGGTGACGGGTTACATATTTTTTCGTCTAGTAATATTTGGATAGACCATTGCACGTTGTCTAATTGCGCGGATGGTCTAATTGATTGTACCGTGGGATCAACTGCCATCACAATTTCGAACAATCACTTCTCTCATCACGATAAGGTTATCTTACTAGGGCATAGCGACGACTATGTTGCTGATCGAGGGATGCAAGTCACGGTGGCATTCAATCGATTCGGTGAGGCATTAAATCAACGTATGCCTAGGTGCCGGTTTGGGTACTTCCACGTCGTGAATAATGATTACTCGAGTTGGGCTGAGTACGCGGTGGGTGGTAGCTCTAGACCTACCATCAATAGCCAAGGGAATCGATACATTGCACCACCAAATCCTAATGCCAAAGAGGTAGAGACCATCTTTTGGGTTAAAGCACTTCAATGCATGTTTTTTATTACTACTCTTTTAGATCAATCCAATGCCCTTTTTACTAAGTTCACATGCATTCAAGAAAAAGATGAAAGTGGCTAAAATGTTGCTTTCCTATAATAAAGCATTCATAACTTTGATAAGATTCTTTCTTGATTTAGTGACGCATTATAGATAAGTTTTGCTTTATTTAGTGTTTAGGCTATTCAATATATTGTGCAAGTGTTTTTCAAAAAAAAAAAAAAAATATTGTGCAAGTGTTGCATAAAACCTATTGCAACTTTGCAAGATTGAGCTAGCTAAAAGGATGGCCCCAAAATAGAGATAGTTACACAGACATTAATAAGACCATCTCATACACGATTTTGCCTCTAAATTATTTTCACTATATTTAATTATGATATAGTAGAAGGCCAGCGGTCGGGTCAATGTGACAATATATATCGAGATAGAAATTATAATAATTAACGTGTGTACGTGTGTGTTGATTGGGCAAGGTAGGTTACAAGAAGGTTGGATGCAGATGGGCAAGAGTGGGAGAGCTGGAATTGGAGAACAGAAGGTGATTTAATGGTGAATGGAGCCTTCTTTGTGCCATCAGGTGATGGGGTCAATCCTCAATATTCTTTGGCTTCAAGTATGGAGCCCAAACCTGCTGCTTTTATTGACCAACTTACTCTCAACGCAGGCATCTTGCTTCCTAATGGGTATGTTTCTTTTCCCTTTTTGTCTCCATCTCCATGCTTTCAAATTTTATAATTGTAAGAGGTCAAATATGGTCCTGGTTCATATGGCCGACCCTATTTGTGAGAATTATGTATTTGGTGTTATTATTATTGTTGTTGATTCATTATATTATTAACATTGATGATGTGATGTCGCTACATCCTACATGCATATTAGCGTAAGTGTTTAATGTTATTATTGTAGTTAATTCGTTATTTTATAAATTTTGTTAATGTAATGTCACGCTGCATCCTAATAATGTGAAAAGAAATCGTGATCATTTACTTCATACGAGTATATAATAATTGATGACTACCAAGTCTCCTAAATAGCTAGTTTTCCAAAAGAAGTTACACCTAGTGATGTGTGTTAGTCATTTACAGTCTGAATGAATGATATATACATCCAAGTGTAAAATAACGACAACTAACAAGAAACAAGATGTATGCCCGCTTTTGTGTTCTACTACTATTATTTTATATAAAATCTCATAAATTTGTTTGAACAGCTTAAATTCGTCATATCCTCAACTATATACTTGTACCCTTTCTAAATCTAAGTCATGGTTAATTACTAATGCCATATCTTCACCAGGTCACCCATGTTCTATTGCATATATTCTGTGGTCTTTTTCCTCAATTCTCTGAAGATATTTTCAGAGTCTTGCCCTACACAATTTTCTATATGTCATTTTTTTTCCCTTTATTTTCTAGATAATACATTTATTAATAGAAGAAGTGATTACAAGTACTGTAGGCCAGTAGGAATCTTCTACAATCTACATAAAAGTTCAAAAATCAAAATACTGTGATTTATTGATAATAAATTTGTTTTTAAGCAATGAAGGAATATCATTTGTCTAAAACATTGGTTTGCTAGTTATTGTTTGATTTTGATCTTATTTACTATCTTTTATCATTTGTCTAATGTGTTGGTGTCTAACACACAAGTGATACTATATTGATATAGTTAACGAACAGATGGTATGCATTAATGTTAAATTGAGAATAAATAAATTAATTAAGCAGGCGGATAATATAGTCGAAAGAACGGAGGTTTATCTTTTTTGCATGGTCATTTAATTGAGTGAACATGAAGGTTTTTTGAAAGTGGCTCATTACATGTTGATTTAGTGTACACTAAAATGTGTTCCACACTAATTAGAAAGAAGCTTTTTAGTGTAAAACTTTAACATAAGATATATTGTAAATTAGCAACTAAACCAACATAAATAGAAGACATTCACTTTAATTTATTCTAGTACAGTTCTTAAAGTGAAAAATATTAGGACACTTTTTCACATGGAAATATGGAGTACTAACATCATGAAAAAAAGGATATTATCATGAGATATGGTCGAAATTATTGGCCTAAATTTGGTTTGCAAGTCAAAGTTGTAAAGTAGTACAATAGGTATCAATTATCATGTTTAAGAATTTTTCACTGAAATTAAGGGGTTTGGCTGACGCATTTTCTCATGCACTTGTTTTGGAATTTATTCTTAGCATATTGTACCTTTTTTTTTTTTTTTTTTGGTATGTTTTCTTTTTATTTTGATCAAATGAAGTTAACATTTATGTGAAAGCTTATTTTAGTATTTTTGATGTCGATTCATATGATATGATGCAATGATAAGGTGCGAATAGGACAAGTCGCGCCACAAATTTATTACAATGGACTATTGTAGACAGTACACTAAATTTATTATATAGTCATTTGAATTATTTTGATTTTGTTTTCAATCCATCATAAATGCAAAGAAATTAACGTTTTTATTTTAACCCTTGTTGGAAAGCTATGTATCAATTAATTGTTCACCACGTTGTTTATTGATATATGAGTGATTATGCAGAGGCATAGCAAATCCTGGATCAAGAGGTAGCGGCATTAGTAGTGGTGGCGGGCTAATTCCTGGCGGCAATGGGGGTGGTGCCCCGGGAGGCATGTATGGCACGGGAGACGGTTACAATAATCCTCCAGGAGAAGGAGGCTATTATGGAGGGGATGGAGGGTTGTTTTTTAGCAGTGCACCTCCTTCACCTTGTTGTCAAACTTCCATCATTATTTTGTCTACAATACTTATTTTGACTTTATATTTTACCACAAATAATTATTTTGTTATGTAGCTAGGCTATAAGTTATTTATAATTTATATAGATAATTCAAGTCATCAAGAGTATATATCTATAAACACTTCCTCTCCCCTCCCATAACAAAAAATTAAAGTTACAACATTTCAACAACCAATTATGAATTGCTCCCACCTTTCATCAGACCAAATTATGGCTAAGTTGAAAGAATTAAAACAAAAAAAGAAAAAACTAACTTGTTAATTAAGCAAAAGGTTTTGCATGACCCATCCATGATATGAATCATATGATTGTCATTTTATTTAAATGGATGTAAAATTAAAGGCTATCAAATTGTCTCTTGAATTAAACCCTCTAACTAAGTGGGAATTAAAAGATTTTATTTTATTTTTGCAAAATGAAATGAAGTGGAATTTTATATATAGAAAAATTATACAAGTAATAATCAAATGGGACCTTAAATAAGAAAATATCCATTCAAAACAATAGTTCAAACACTAATTTAAGTACCAAACTTTAGGATGATAAGTTGGTGTATGTAAAAGGCTCATTTGCCTTTTTATTATAGACAATACGTCTGAAAAAGATAAACATAAAAAGTACTCCCTCCGTCCCTTATACAAAGCCTTTTTATAGCGTTTAAGAGAAAGAGGCTTCTAATTTAGGCACAGAAGGAGTATATGTTAAACTACTAAGCAATAAAACAGAAATTACTTATCTCTTGATGCGTGAACCAAAGTGACAATAGCCACGTCGTGGAAAACCACTGACCTAAAAGACGATTCCGCGCTACCTCCCGATGCAGTAGACTAGAAGCGGTCGCCCTCCAGGATAAGCACGGCGCCGGAGTTTATGTGCACTCACAAACCCGACTGGAACTCAGAATACTTGCCCAGAAAACAGAACAGAAGAAACTCGTGTTTAGATAATTTTAGAGAAGAGAGATAACTGATTGTGTTGTTTGTTTAGACTGAAAAAACCACCGAGTATTTATAAGCTGCAGAGGAAAAACGGGAAGCATAAAAGGTGGGAAGAATCTGGCCAAGAAAATGACCAGATTCATTTGGTCAGTCAATAACCGAGGCAAGAAACAAGGAATTAATCAGTCAGCTATAATCAAGGGATTAATGACTGACTTGATTCCGTAATCCCAACAGTCAGAAAAGAATATTCCCAAAAGACAGAAAAGAATATTCTGTTTAACAAAGAAAAGGAAATAAAATTTCTCCAAAAAGATAACAAGGACCCACGCCCGCGCATCGCATTCCCCAAGACCCGAGCCCGACCCGACTCGGCTCAGCGCGCGCGTGTGGAGTAACACTTAACTCCCACTCACTCAACTAAGTAGTGTTAATACACTACAATATAAAAACAAGGAAAAACCTTTCCCCCCAACCAATTTGGGATTTTCCCCTTTCATTTGTTTTTCTCTCTCTCTTGTTTTTTTCCCATCTCTCTTATTTTATATCAAGAACTTCCAACAGTATAAAATACGAAGTGATAGGGTTTTGATTATATACATGTATAAAAGTTGGGAAAAAAATAGCATTGAATAGTGGAAAAGATAAATTATAGTAGGACGTTACATGATTGTGAATTTATTTAAAATGAATGTAGGTGAATAGTGAATTATAAGCTTTCGAAATGTCTCTTGAATCAAACCTTCTAATGGGTTTAAATGGACCCTAAATATGTATTAAAGGCTGGTAGAGAACCACGATTAAGACCAGTAATATGTTTTATTGGTAATTTAATGATGATTTGAACGGATAATGATGCTTGCTGCATTATTTGAACGCCAATGACTAATGACAATAACTGGGAAAGGGAGGGAGAGTTGCTAGCTTGATTCAATATTGATACATAGAGTATAAATTGATTAAGCTTTATAAAAAATGGCTAACATATTAGCAAAACCAGTGAATATTAATTACAAATTTGATAAGACAGAAGGTCAGGATCCGATCTCTTCATCTTAAAACAATAATTATCCATATGCATAATTAAGAACACGAAAAATGTATCATGTCTTGGTAAGGAGCTGAGATGTCTCATATTTCTTTATTAAATCACCAATAGAAGTAAGAAAAATTAAAAAAAAAAAAAATTCTCTTATTTTATTCAAATAATTACAAAAAATGTATCATGTCTTGGTATGGGATAACATAATAAGTGAAGATAACGAGATTTTTTTTCCTTTATCAAAACTAAAGTAAAGTAGAAGGTAAACTATTAAACCGAGATTTAAATTAACCAAGAGAGCAAAACACATTTTTTCATACAAGTTTTTGCACAATGTATTAAAAAACCAATTTATGTATGAAAAAGTTATCAAAAAGTCTAATTACATAGAGACACAAACCAAAGTTCCCACGATTATTTTTGGGTGATACCAAGTTCGGCGCAGCCGCGCAAGCTCAAATCTCGACTGAGACATTATTTTTGTCTCATATAATTATTTTATGTAATTATTCATATTGCACCAACCAATACACATCATATTCCCTATAACCTCGGTATTATTGTTAATTATGCATATGAAAATTTCAAAAATTTGAGTCACAATCAAGAAAATTGTGTGATAGGCCCAAAGCAGACGAAGAAATTTTCAGCAATTTAGGGTCCTACTATGTATTTTTGCATTGTTTATCAAGTGGAGTTGCAATCAACTTTGGGAAAGGCATCAAACCATATGGTAAAAGGGCCCATAAATTGTGGGCACACATTAATGATGTGTGCCCAAAAGTATTTCCACCCTAATCTTCTATTCTTCTACTTATGTGTCTTGGTCCTTGCAAAGTTCAATTGTATAATAAAAAAAAATGTATTAAGTGGGTTGAATATATAATGCTAGGGAATTTCAAGAATAAGAAATGAGAAATGAGAAAGCTAATAATATCCTAACAATTCTCATTCTAGCAAATATATATATATATATATATATATATATATATATATATATATATATATATACAGAGAGAGAGAGAGGCTCACGTAAGAACCCTCCTCTATAGGTAATGAACATCTAATGAATTAAAAAAAATCATACCCGAATCTAAGAATTGCGTTAATCTAGGGCTTGGCGAAACCTGAAATTGCTCAATCAAACATGTTTAGTGCAAGTTTCTGAGTAACAATCGTTGATTGGAACAGAAAACATGAAATCGGCGTGAGGTACAATTTTTTTGAATTTTTTAAATAATTTTTTTGTATTTGGTCCTAAAATTTGTTATATATTCCTATTATTTTATATTTAAAGAAAATGTTTTATTTTTAATTAGTTTTTATTTAAACTTAAAATTTGCCAATTTTGCTTACGTGACACTTGAATTATTAATTATAAACGAAATTAATTGTAATACCCCGTTGTTGACTCGAATGAACAATACAAGAGGGGGGTGAATTGTATTGCAGAGGAACTAGGGTAATTTTTCAAAATTCTAAAGAGACTTAAACAAAAACTTTAAAGTGCAAGAGAGATTTTACGTGGAAAACTTCTTGGCCCTAATCAAGAAGAAAAACCACGACCACAAGTGATTTTAAACTCAATTCTTAATAATAATAGGGCAAACAACCTATTACAAATTAAGACTCTAAACTCAAGTTCCTCTACGAACTTAAGTTCCCCCTCAACTGATCCCTCAATCAATTGAGCTCTCGAATCTCTCTCTTTCTCCTTGCTTCACTCTAAGCAGTTTAAACACTCTAGAGTTTACCCAAACTCTACCCCAATACAACTCAAGATAAAACTTCTAAGATGCTAAGTACAAAGACACTCAAGGATTTAAGTGGATTTTTGACTCTTTTAGAAAAGCTAAGAATTGTAATGCTCAAGTGTACTTTTAAAAACAGAAAACTAATCCTATTTATACAGGAGGAAAGCAGTTGAAAACCTTACGTTTGCCTTAACTCCCACTACACCACAACTTCCATGAAATAAGGAAGTGCAGTTCGTGGATGCTTGGGCAGCAAGCTGAAGCACACAATAAGGAAGTGGTTCCTTTATTTTCTCAACCTCCTTGACCAAGTAAAAAGCCGTTTTAAAATTGGTTTTACCAAGTCAGATTTTCCAAAATATTAGGATAAATCAGAACAGAAAATCTTTTAATAAATAAGATATTTTTACTTAAAAGATAATTTTCCGAAATAAGATTAAATCTTGTTAAAATAAGGAAAATAAAATCTTTATAAACTGAAATTAAATCCACTTAAATCCTATCAATTAACAATGTACTTAACATATATACAAGAAGCCTAAAATAAATAATAAAGATACAATAGACTCCTTGGAACACAGTGAAGCTTCGACTCTGGAGCTTCAGTTCCTCACTCAAGGAACTTGGCTTCTGATTGTCTTCTATGCTCATCCACAGCTCATCCTTAGACCTTGTTCCATGCTCCATTCTGACTCTAGAACTTCGTTGCATATAAGAACCTGTCAAGTACATCAAAGCTAATTGACAAAAGTTCAAGCCCTTATGGGTTTTCTTAGGTTCCTTGAGTCATCATCAAAACTTAAGATCAAAGATCAACACCCGTATTTTTTAAAAGTATTTTCTATTTAATTAATTAATTAATTATTATTCTGTTAAAAAGGTATTTTAATATTTTATTTTACTATTTGAATTTTGAGCCAAAATAATATTTGAATTTTGGCGTCAAAAATATTTTTTAAACTCAGTTAATATTTTTGGATTTTGGATAAGATTTATTATCCATTTATTTTTTATTTTGAAAAACCGCATTATTTATATATTTTAGATATTTTAATTAAAGAAAAAACTATATTTTATTATTTAATTAAAAGGTCTAAAATTCCTAATGATTGATTAGGGTTATATATATATATATATATATATATATATATATATATATAATTGGTTAGGTTAATTAATAAATAAAATATTATCTTTAAACATGAAACCTGTGTGAGGTACAATTTTTTAATTTTTTTTAATAATATTTTGTATTTATGTCCTAAAATTTGTTATATATTTCTAATATTTTATATTTAAAGATAATATTTTATTTTTAATTAGTTTTGATTTAAACTTAAAAATTTGCCGATTTTGCTTACGTGACACTTAAATTATTAATTATTTAAGAAGTTCATTTTATATTTAAAGATAATATTATTGCTTTTTATAATCGATTTTCAGTCTCACTACCCTCACTTGTTTTGTATACAAAGTAAGTACGTAGAAGTTCATTTTATATTTAAAGATAATATTTTATTTTTAATTAGTTTTGTTATATATTGCTGACGGTTACTTGGGGAAGGGTTCGACCTTCACCACGTCCGCCTGCATCACCTTTCCCAATTTCCAAGCAAACTGCTTGAT